GAGATAACTCGTTAATGTATATAGAATACAAAAACGGAGAGAGAATTGATCCCTGGAGGACACCAGTGGCTGGCGAGAAACGAGTAGATATTGCATTATTGAGTAGGACTTCTACCTGGACCTCATCAAATAGACTCTGAAGCAAGCTAACCAATGCAGCAGGTGATGTTTGCTCTAGGTTTTTTCAAATACAACGACGATCCACAGTATCATATGCCGACTTTATGTCTAAAAAGGCCAGTACTGGGGTTATATGATGAAAGCGGCGTAGGATGTTGCATATTTCGGCTAGACAGGGAGCTTGGTCTAAAGATCCTCTGGACTCACGGAAGCCGCCTTGAGCTATGCCCAGGGGAGGGCTATTAGCTACCAAAAAGCTGTAGATACAGCGTTCTAATATTTTTCTGAAGACGGACGTTAGACTAATTGGCCGATAGTTACCTGGCTCTGCTGGGTCGCCTTTTTTATAAATCGGTACAACTTGCGCTATTCGCCAGTCCGCAGGTGTATAGGACCAGGTCCAGCATAATTGGAACAAAAATAGCAAGATATCTGCAAGATTAGCCTGTAAAGGGGCGAGTGTTTCTTGACGTAAATGATCAGGACCTGGAGCCTTGTTAGATGGTAATTGCCTAAGTGCTGCTTGTACATCATCCAACGTAATAGGGCAAGTTTCTCTCGCAAATGGAGTGGACTCAGATAGGGAGGAATGGGTCTGCTCTACACCTTGGAGCAATCGGCCAGAGTAGATTGCTTGTATGTGGGAGGCCATCACGTTAGCTGCATGTTGCGGGCCGTCTATAGTAGAAAAAGGAGGCTTTAGGTTTCTATTTTTACGAATTTTACATAATTTTGCGATGGCTTTGGTATACTCCCCTTGTTCTATTTTATCACAGAACTCTTTCCATGTGTCTCTTCTTCGTTTTAAAATCATCCGACGTAGCTTCACCTTAGCTTCTTGATGAAGGAGCCAGTATTTGAGACAATTAATCCCTTGTGATTTACACCATTTTCTATAGTAGTGTTCCTTAAGTTCGAAGACCTCTTGCAAATCAGCTGTCCAGAATTGTTGCAAGGGGTTGCACCATTGTCGCGTATTACGGCCACATACCTCATCCAGAGATTGGTAGATCGCTTGACATAGGTTGTAATTGAGTTTTTCAATATATGCCGATGCAGAGGCTCTGTTGTCAAAGGAGGGAGCAGTAGTAGGTATAAGATCCTTAGTAAGATGGGAAAAGCGATTATTGTATTGAGCTCTTAACTTTTCATCTTTTAACTTGCCCAAGTGCCACAAGATCCTTTTAGGTGGGAGGGGCCTCTGAGGTGGAGCTGATGCTTGAAAGGATAGGGTCATAAACTTGTGATAGGAGTCAAGCGGTAGGTCGTCCCGAATTATTAAGTTTGAGTATGGCAGTTCTGTTGTACTAATAAAGTAGTCGATAATACTGCTGCCAGAATAGTTCATAAAAGTGGGTGATCCATATGCTAGTCGTTCATTCCATATTGTCATATTGTGAGAATTGATTCATTCGTATAGTAACTGTTCTCGGTGATTATGTAAAGTGTCTCCAGTAACTTTGCCTATCCGTGCATTGAGATCGCCACAAATGATGGTGGATTCAGTGTTAGGCATATTTAGAGGAAGCAAGTTGAGAATATTGGAAAATTCGGCGTGTGGCAAAGAAAGAGGTAAATGAAGACAGTGAACAAGGTATTTTGAAATAGTGAAAGACAAGGCATACTTAGCTAAAATGTCATTCTTGTGAGGAATATGCTGTACTGGGAAGGGATTGGAAGGGATTGGAAGGGTTAACTAGTAGAGCTATACCAAGACTACCTCGATTCATACTCGATTGGATAGGTTGACCATAGGTGTGAAATTGTTGCTATGATATTAGATACTTGTTAGGTGGGAGAAGCCATGATTCAGTAATTAAAAGAACGGAAGAGGATTCAGCTACTTTAAGGAGTGGTGAGATAGCATGTTTAGGTAGACTAGTAGCGTTGAATAATGATATGCTGATAGTATTCATTATAGCTGTGAGTGGTTATCTTCATTATTCGAGAGGTGCATGACTAAGTCGTCATCGACTTCGAAGACATCGGTTGGATGGTTTATTCTGGTAGGAATATTTCATCGAGAGTGGACTTGTCAATCCATTTTTAGGTGTAGAAATAACGAGCTACGATCGCCTTAACTGGAGCACGGATGTAGAAAAGGGCTCTTCTGACACGTTCACAATGGAACTTGAGAGCAAGATGGTCGCGTTCTTCTTTAGAGCATTGGTCATTTTTAGGGTCCATGAGGATCGATCCATCACAAGGATCAAAATTGTCTATAATGCGCACTTTGAATTTCTGGAGGTGAGATTTCAGTTCGGGAGCATAATCGTTATGGACAAGAAGGGCCACAGTGTTACGAGTAGGGTAGTGGATGTCAAGAATGCGACTGTTATTAATATCTAATTTATGAAGGCGAATGTGTAATTGCCCGATAGGGACACGGGCTTTAGTGGGAACGAATATATATTGGAAACCTTGGTTCTCAGAGGGCGGCTGCAAGAATCGGGCAGCGATTTCCTGTCGTTGTAAGCGTCGTTGTTGACGTTGTTCCAATATTGAAGCTTTGAGAAGACTAAGGCGGGCTGGGTCGCGCCAGGGAGGGAGCGATTGAGAGGCAGAGGGCAGAGGTGGGAATTGAGAACTATTTGAAACAGAAATAGGCTGAGTACCAGTATGTACTTGTTGGTTGCGCAAAACTTGGACTTCTTCCCGAGCTTGTTTGAGTTCCGCTTGGGTCTGTTTGAGTTCGGCATACAATTTTTCAATTGTTAGTTGCAGATCTGCAATAGTTACACCTGAAGGTAGAGCATTGATATCGGAGCTTGTGAATTGGGATCCAGAAATTTCCATTGATTCCTGAACGGAGGAATCAGAGGGTAGATCAGTTGCTGTTGAGACCGACTGAAGCATGTTCGCCATGGCATGTGCATTGCAGTACAAGTTACGACTTTTGCACAAGAAACTAGGTTGAGGGGGATCGCCAGCTGTGGCCCCTTTGCAGTTGAAAGAGCCGCTTGCTTGGCAATTGGTACAGACGAGCCTGCGACGTTTGGTCTCAAATTGCTTATGCAGATTTTGAGTCTGCTCATTTGAAAGAGCAGACACAGTGAGCTTGCGACCTCGTAAACCATGGGTCATTGTTGCTGTCTTATGTAGTTCTGTATGTCTCAATTGTTCGTATAGGTATGTGTAACGTATAAAATGCAGAAAAAGAGCTCATTAGACATACAGTGCTTCCGACAAGTATTGTCACAACCAATCAAAATCAATGTCACTGGTCAATTAAAAATGATGTCATTGGTCAGCACTCGAAAAATATAAAGAGAGAGTGAGCATTTTTTCTTCTGATACTTTTTCTTTTTAATACTTTACAATTCAACATGAGTACTATATTTCTATATGAGGATGGACATGAGAATGTTATTGATGAGAATGGTGGTCCTGAGCCCATGGACTATATTGTTGATCAGAATGAGTTCATTGTTGAGACTACTGCTACTCATACAGAGTACTTGAGAAATGCAGTCCCCAATGAATCATCTCTGACTTGCCCAATGTCATTAGAAAAGCCAAAAGAATGAAGATGTTCATAAAGGAGGCAAAACCAAAACGGGACTATGTGCGTTATACAGTCCAGGATAAAGCTAGGTTTTTCGATCTGAAGATTGAAAAGTGTATGACTGCTTCAGCTGCAGCAAAGCAGTTGGGTATTCACCCTCGAACAGCTTATAGGTGGGTTAGTCAGTATAATGCATGTCCTGACAGTATTTTTGAGAGCTGTAAAAAGACCGGTCGTAAGTGCACCTTAACTGAAGAGCATAAAGCGACTGTTATCAACTTCATTGATGCTAATCCCTCTGCTACTGTTGTTGAAGTGACTGAGCATCTACTGAAGCGATTTCATGGTCTTAAAGTATCACACAGCACTGTTAATAACTTTATGAGACGTGAGTGCAACCTTTCGCTGGAAAAAGCAGATTTTCATTCTATTGAGAGAAATAGTCCAGCAAAGATTGAGGAGCGACACAATTGGGTTTGTCAATGGGAAAAATACAGACATGGACTTTCTGACGAATTGCGTGTTTCTTGGCGAGTCTGCTTTTGATATAAATATGAAACGCTCAAGAGCCTGGTCCAATAAAGGTACTCGTGCTATTGTAACCAGGCCTACTACGAGAGCAAATACAGTATCTATATTGGGTGCTATTTCTGCCTCAGGTTTGATAACCGTCGGTGTAAAGAAACCTAGGCCTGCAAAGAAGAGAAAATCTGATGGATATATAAGCTCAGGAACTGTTACTGGTCACTATATCAGTTTCTTAAAAACGACATTCGATGAAATGGACAAACATCCACATATGAAAGGCCACTATATTGTTATAGATAATGCACCCATTCACACACATGAAAACATAAAGAAGTACATTAAGTATCGGGGATATAAATGTGTGTATCTTCCTACTTACTCTCCTGAGCTTAACCCAATTGAACAATTCTGGGCAGTGGCAAAGTGTAAGGTTAAGCGTCACAGGTTCTTGCAGGAAGACACTTTGTCCAAGAGGATTACAGAAGCCTGTAACAGTGTGAAGCAAAGTCATTTCAAAGGTTTCGCCTCGCATTCTTACCAGTGTTGGGACAAGTGTCGAAATAGACAACTTATGTAATGATCCAAACGAATGTGCGATTAGGGGAAAACAGTAAGTGGACAATCAGAAAAAAAAAAAAAGGCTATCCAAAAAAAAAAAAAAAAATGTTGTTCTTTTTGTTCGTTCGCAGAGATACAAAAACTATGTCCTCTAGTGATATTGTAAATTCCAACAAAACCATTATTTTGTTGAAAAAAACATGTCCTTATTGCGACAGGTCGTATCAGTCGAATCAAAAAGCCGTGAACCATATCGCTGCTATTCATCAGAAAAAAGTGGAACGTCTTCTCTCTGGTCACCGTAATTTTAGTATGTACAGTCAAGCGAATGTTCAAAAGTATGAACGACTTGGCTACTCCATCGTGGTTCATTATGGTTGTGTCTCTTGTAAGGAGACCTTCGTTGTGAAAGAGGAACTGCGAAAGCATTGTGACTTGAGCCATGTCATGGCATCTCAGCCTGAAAATGGGTATTTGAAATATTTTGTATGACAATGATTTGGTTTTCTAAATTTCATTTGTTTTAGGATCATTACTGCGCCTGACGATATAATCAAGTTAGGCTGGATTTTTTGTTGCCCAGACAATGACCATCTTGTCTTTCAGAACATCGACATTACCAAGGGTTTTCACGAATTTAGCCATTATGTGAAAACGATCATTGACGAACCGCGTCTCTTGACGTACGAATCCCATGTCCAGCACGTCTTGGCATTGTCATCAATCCTCTTGCTAAAGCCATCCCGCACCAACAGTGATCTTCACCAGTTCATAGGACGTGAAATATGTGAAGGCCTTATTGGATATTTGCTGGAAGGATATGGCATTCGGTCGTGCGAATTTGATCAATATACTCGGCTTGATGCTGAAAAAATCGTGAAGGCATAATCAAGAGAGTGAAAAAATGGCTGTAGCTTATTTATCAGTTATGTAAAATTGCATCAGAAAGAAGATTACAGAGTTCCAAGATTCTCAAAAATTGATGGCTCTCATGGTTGCCAGCAACGATGTCCACAACAGGATACTATTTTGCTTTCGAAATCTGTAAGGGCGAATAAGGAAGAACGCAAGTCATAACGTTTATTCATTATATGTCAATCAACATTTGCCTGTAGACTTGAACAATTACCACTGGAACCAATCAGTCAGAAGGTTGATGAATTGGAGTTGATTACAAGATATACCACTGCGGCTATCAGTCCATTGTTGGAAAACCTCATGAAGCACGTCATGTTTCGCTGGTATGAAAAGAAAAATTTCAGTCAAACGCAAGCTCAATTTTTTTGTCATTTTCGCGTACTTTAGGACTTCTGTTGCCAATGACGAGTGCAAATCCAGTGAGATGTCATTGTTACTGGCCAGACCTGATTCTACAATCAGCATGGTGATAGGCACGGAGATCGGGCAAACAGTAGGATATGGAGAAGTGAAACCGGCATCCCATGCGCTGAATCACAAGCTAGTCGGAAAAGACTTAGTGCGATTGGCGCTCTTAGCAAAAAACGCTATTGATACGTATCGTAGCAAATTTGTCCTGTCGTTTCTTGTCGTTGGTAAGTTTTTCTGTTTTTATTTTGAATGCAAAAAAAGACATATTAACACTCTTTCTTTGATTTTTATCATGTTGAATAAGGACATCATGTGACATTCTATTTGACTGATGGTACAAGAAATGGCTTCTATCCAATGGTCGAAATTGCCCATATTCAGTTGCCAATGTCTTTGAAAGAACTTCCACTTTTCATCGCACAA